AGAAAAAAAAGCTTACTTAAACTTTAAATTGAACAACTCAGATATCAAGAGTAAATGGAAAGAACTTAAGAAATTGAGTGTTACCAAGGGTAGAAACAAAGAAATACCAGAACAACTGAAAAATGCCGAAGATATGAATAATTTTTTCTTAAGATCTTCCATGAATGAGGATGTACCAAATGAACATTTAATAAATTTTTATAATTCTAACCGAAAAGAAGGATTGAATGAATCATTCACCTTTTCATTGTCTAATGAAACTGAAATATCTAAATTAATCAATAATATAAAAACGCAAGCCTATGGTGATGATAGTATAAATATCTCAATCATCAACCTTTGTGGACCTCTCCTGGTGTCTATAACTACACATATTATAAATGAATGTATAAGTCAAAACTATTTTCCCAGTGTGTGGAAAAACGCAAGAGTAATACCCATAGCAAAAAATAGTAATCCTCAAAGTTATAATGACTTGAGATCAATAAGCATTCTACCAACATTTTCAAAGATTCTGGAAAAAGTAATGGAAAATCAAATCAGATCTTATGTCGACTCTTATAACATACTACCAGTGAAACAATCAGGCTTCAGAAGTGGCTATAGCTGTGCAACAGCAACATTAAAAATAGTGGATGACATAATTAAAGCTCTTGATGCAAGCAAAGTAACAATTTTAATATTACTGGACTACTCGAAAGCATTCGATACCATAAATCACCAAATATTACTTTCCATGTTGCATTACTTTGGATTCAGCGATGCATCAAGTGCGTTAATTTCATCTTATTTGCATAATCGAAAACAAAAGGTCGTCATAAGTGATACATGTTCTAATTGGCAGGAAATAAATTCTGGGGTACCACAAGGCAGCATTTTAGGCCCTCTGTTCTACACCATCTACACTTCCACTTTCACCAAGAGATTGAAATTTTGCAACTACCATTTATACGCAGATGACTCTCAGATATATTTCTCCTTTGACCCCCTAAACCTAGAAGACGCCGTAAATCGTATTAATAGTGACTTGGAAGCAATTCTGAAGGTATCCACAGATCACATGTTGAGAATCAATCCGAAGAAGTCAATTGCCATGATATTTGGAAACGAAAACGTTCGTGAGCAGGCCAATAACTATGAACTCAAAATCGGAGATTCCAGAATAAATTTCAAGACTCACTCTAAAAACTTAGGGCTTGTTATAGACTCCAAGCTTAAGTTCACAGAACATGTAACCTACAAACTCAAAACAGCTTACGCATCTCTGAAATTAATATACCCACAAAGGAAATTTTTGAATACGGAAGTTAAAAAAACATTGTGTGATTCATTAGTTCTGTCCCATTTCAATCATTGCGACGTGGTATATCACAAATGTTTAGATAGCAATGACACAAAGCGCATTCAAAAACTACAAAACTCTTGTATGAGACTTATTTTTGGTATAAGAACTAGGAATAGAATTTCACATAAACTGAAAGATTTGAACTGGCTTAATATGATCAACCGCAGACGTCTCCATACAGCTTGTACTTTCTTTAAAATAGTCAAGTTTAAGACTCCTCCCTACTTACATGAACATTTGAGTTATAGAACGGACGTTCACAATTTGAATCTGAGAAGGAAATTACTATTGAGTGTCCCTACTCACAAAAAAGAAGTGTATAAGCGCTCGTTCTCTTATAATATTTCTGACACATTAAATTATATTAATATTTGGAATCCTAATTGGTTTGACCTATCGATCGATAATTTCAAATACAAATTTAAAAAACATTTAATACAGTCTCAAAATGTCCCTGAATGACCGCTATGAAACATTCGCATTGAGATCGTGATTATTGTTTATCAGCTCATCGCTCGCATGCTCTATTTCCAATTCTTTTTCTCTCCATCTCTCTTTTTTCTCTTTTCCTCCTCTCTTTCTCGTGCTCTTTCACCCTATTCAGCTTTATTTTTCAGTTTACGGCTTTGGTGGAACACCAGATGCGACTTGATCGCAATCTGAACCAAAAGCCCTTTGTTCACCATATGTATATATATTGTATTTAGTTTTACTTTCTCCAATGTGAACATATTTGGTGTCCAATAAATGTATTATTATTATTATTATTATTATTTATCCATACAGAAAAATTCGAGAAGTGAAACCATCCTTGACTTCAAAAAATCCAAATTGCAAATTAGATAACGAATTATTATCAGGAAAGATTGATGAACCCCCCCCCCAATTTAGATGATAACATTACAGAAAGCGGACAAGGCGATGACATTCATGATAGTGATGACGAAACTGTTTATACTAGCCGAGAAAACCCTGTATATGAAGTCTCAATCTCAGAAACACCCATTAACAACTTTCAAAATCAATTATTTCTGACAATAGTCACACTATCCAGTTGTCCCTAGAATGAAACGATTATTTGAGAATAATATAAGAAAGGAGATTCAAATTTTCTCGAATAATTTTGAGGAGGACATCATGAATACCTTCAAAGATCTTATTATGACAAAGAGAACGTTTGCAGTTGATTCCTACCGACCAGAATACATTCCTCGATTTTGCGAAGTCTTGAGAAACACGTTTATTAACTCCCCTTTTGAAATCATTCTTTGCAATAACGTATTGAAATTCGTGATATCAGTCGACGAGAGGCAAGACATTGTTCAGGATTATCATCTAGGTGAAACTATCGACTGCGGAATAATCGAAACCAAATCGTGAATGTAACGTCATTATTATTGGCCAAATATCAGAGGCACATTCACGGAATACATGAATAATAGCGGAAGTTGCCAAAACTGAAATACGACAGAAACCCACCAAAACAGAAGCTTGAACTCCAAACAGACCTTTCGTCCTACATGCTGATACATTCACAATTAGAGATCAAAAATTTTTTACAATAGTAGACCAATATTCAATTTTGGCAATAGTAAACCAATATTCCAATGTCCAAGCATACTCATTGACAGGACTCACTGCTATCCCCATAGCAGAAGGATCCATAAACTTCATGACTTATCTTAGGACACCAAAAATGTTAGAACTTCATCAAGGCACTGATCTTAGAAATGATGTCATACAAGAATTTACAGCTCTACATAAAATACAAGCTCATATAACACCACTGCCTGGAACCCGAACTCGAATTCAATTGTTGAAAAATATCACTCAAACATCTCAGAATCGTCCACGAAACGCGAGACAATCTAAATATTCCTGATGAAATGCCATATTCCATATTAGGCTCTAACCACGTCATACATTCAGACACAAAACAACGCCCTATAGACATAATCACAGGCCATTTAGACAGTAATAGTCCATTTGACATAGATATTAACGGATAATTATACGAAAACTACATCAGGAAACACAAGGAATCTACAGAAGAAATTCACAAACAACTCAATAACCAAATGTCCAAATAAAAAGAGCTCTTTCTCGAAAAAATGAAATAAGATCGTCACGATTCACTCACCTATGATCCGGGTACCTTGATTCACGGAACTGAATCACGAAACAAACTGGTCCCAAATTCAGGTCTCGCCGCCTCAAGAATGACACGAAAATAACCATTCAGGCCGTAAAACTCACCAAAAACCACCCGGGTGGAGTCAGTCGCAGAACTATTACCTATCATAATAATAATTTGAGGCGACCTCAATCTAATCAGAAAACTCTTAGTGCTTCCACTAACCAAAACCACACGAAAAATCCAGCTGACTAACCTGGAAACCAAACCTTAGCTGCATCACCATCCATCGATACAACAACATTCATTTCACCGCTAGAAAAGTTGGCGATCTGGCTCTATTTTATAGATATTTTCATGCACGATGCTGTTCTGAGATAACAACAATCGTTCCTCCCTTGGCAGTCCCCGCGAGATTAACCAATCGAGTTGAGGCTTCGCACCCCTTCGTGGTCACTTTGGAGACCTGCGTTCTGCAGAGTCGTTCATCCAACGAACAGCTAGACTCTGGATCACATTGTCAAGGGAGGTGTTTTCCGAGGAATATATCCTCCAGAAATTCAAGAGGAACACCAAGTCCTACGTTATTTTTCTTGGTTCTCACAATGATGTCAATAAGTAGATGGTGTAGGTACTTCCTGATGCGCTTTTGTTTCAGAAATTCTTCTAGACCTCCCGAAAGTCCCGTGGACGATGTTTTCAGCAGTTTTCGGATAGATGGCGACATTGCACAATTATGACATATGTAAATTTTCGAATTGCCGCAGATTTTTCGAATTCAGAGTTGAATAATCCCACTGTTACATATTTTCTGCATACCTAAAATACCAATTGCCATATTATTTCCACTCGTCAAAGTAGCAGTAGCAGCGTCACCATCGATGTGACGTAGAGAAATCATAGTAGGCGGTCGAGTAACTTTTCTTGAGTTTTCAATAGGTGAAATTGGCCGAGTACGCGCACCATCTACTTATTTCCATCATTGTTCCCACGATGTTCTCTCAACATTACAGGATATCCCTTTTCGTGGGAACCAGAACACAAAAAAAAACTGAAGGAAATGGAAGCTCTACATCTAGCACCGACGCAGACGAATAGCCAATAGGCGATCTACCCTCCGTATGGATATTTTCAAGAAGGAAGGAATTATATCAAGAGAAACACTATTTCAACGCTCACATAATTGAGATGCATTCATTGTCATCAAATGATTTAATGAAAATGAAGTTAAATTTTTGGTTCAAACTCATCCTGAGGAACTTAATTCGCCTATATAGATTTCCTCTGTGATACTCCTAGACCATGTCTTTCCTATGATCCTGATATACTCTGGGAAGGTTTTGTTATCTCAGCATAACTTGAACAACAATAGTTGATTTGGTAGGTGTCGAATCACCCCGTATATTAACGAATATTCTTATCTTCCTACAAGTCATTATATGGGTTTTCGAATTCTTCATTAAATTCGTTTTAAATGGGTATCTTGAACTTTGTTTACATTCATTAGTAAGTAGCTGTGAAATGTTGCCGAAAAAAATTTGCGAAGATGTCAAGATTTTCAATAGAAAACATCATTTTCCACAGATTTTGGCGATATTAATTGGTGAGTCATATGTTTTATTCTTGTCCGATCACCCAGAATGAGAATGAAATGAAAATTCATTCGATTATTCTTCGAAATACTACAAGGAGGGGCCAAACAATAATTTCCGATCGCCAACTTCAATTTCAACAGGGTTACAATGGATGTTTCAAAAGTATTCGATAAAAATTGAGAAAAATCAACTCAAATTACAATTTATTGAATAGTTTTTAGTTGAACTTGATAGAAATAGCTGAACTACAAAAAATTACATATCTATGAAATATAATGAAGGAAAATTGAATCCTTCGTTCCTAATATTTATATTGAGGTGAAATACAAATATCGTGAAGAATGGTTGAAAAGTAAAAGGGATAACAGCTTCTTATAGTGCATTCAATAGTCTACAGCAACTAAAATGAATATTTTAATTGTTCCAGAACAGTGAGATTTTTGGGTAGTTCAACTTATCCGCGGATAACACCCATATCCGTACTGAGTGCGGAAAAGTATTACTTTGCGCACGCAAATGAGTGCGGAAAAGTACTACTTTGCGTACGCTAGTAGTAGTGTTACTTTTCTGCACGCAAATACAGTTCGTTCGAATAAGTTTTTGCGTGCGGAAAAAACACTTTGCGCACATGTTAGGAACAATGTTTTTCCTACGAGCTCCATATCAGATAAAAAAGGAAATGAAAAAGAATATAACTTATTGAAAAATTCAACTATACAACAATCACACATAACAATAAAATGTTATAATAGAAAATCACATTTTCCCTACGAGCTCCATATCAGATAAGAACGAAAATAAAAAAGTTTCAACTCAAATTACAATTCATTGAATAGGTTTTAGTTGAACTTGATAGAAATAGCTAAACAACAAACAATTACATATCAACAAAGTATAATGAAAGCAAATTAAATCATTTGTTCCTAATATTTATATTGTGGTGAAATACAAATATCGGGAAGAACGGTTGAAAAGGCTTCTTATAACGCATGAAATAGTCTACAGCAACTAAAATGAATATAAATGTTCCATACCAGTGGGATGTTTGGGTAATTTTACTCAATCGCACGCCGTGTGGATAACACCCATATTCGCACTAAGTGCGGAAAAGTATTACTTTGCGCACGAGAATGAGTGCGGGAAAGTACTACTTTGCGCACGCTTGCAGGGAAAGGTATTTCTCTGCACTATTTTTGTTGTTCTGGAAATGAGGATTCAGGACTGACCAGATGATCTTTGCTACTATTCTGTCTTATGTATCATTTTGCAGCATTATTATAAAATATTGTTTATTAGTTAATTGGGTACCATATTTTTATATGATCAATATAAACAAAAACACTCGTTGAAATAACAGTGTTTCTAACTCTCGCAGAAAAGTAAAACTTTCCGCAATCGTTTGATGATTAACAGTAAACGGTATCGTCAATGAAATTTCAATGAAATCAAGACCTTACTGGTGACACCGTGTGTTCAGAAAGTCGTATCAAAAGCAAATACTATCACTCAGCTTATACTTTTTTTGCAGCCGCATTATGTTCCCTTTCCGATGGAATCCTCATGTCGTGGACATCTCCCTTCATCTTGAAAATCTCCGAAGACAAAACCAATTACGACATCACAGAAAACCAAGCATCAATGTTAACCACCATCTCCCCAGTCTGCCTGATGATCACCTCCTTGCTCTTCTCAAACTCCTGCGACTTTTTCGGGAGAAAGAAGATCCTGATGTCCATAGCCCTGCCGCAACTGCTAGCCCTGGCCTTAACAGCTGCGTCCAACAGCATTTGGACCTTGTGCCTCTCCAGAGTTTGCGCTGGAATAGCAGAGGGATTCGTATTGACAGTGTTGCCGATGTACATCGCTGAAATTTCAGAGCCTGAGGTACGAGGCACTTGGGGCAACGTGGCCACCATCTTCGTGCTGCTAGGCTCCCTGCTGATCAACCTAGCTGGCTCCTACTGCAGCGTCAAAACAGCTGCGTATATCTTCATGCCTGTGCCTGTGATATTTTTCGCCTTGATGTTTCTATTACCGGACTCGCCCTATTTCTACATCAAAGTGTCAGAGCAGAAGAAGGCTAGAGAGTCTCTGTGTTGGTTGAGAGGCGTTGAAGAAGTGGATCACATTCTGCAGCAAATGAAGAATGAGTTGGATCAACAGGTGGCAGAAGCTGGCAGTTGGTGCGACCTGTTGCGACTGCCGAACAATAGGAGAGCTTTGACAGCCGGGCTTTTCTTGAGGTTTTCCCAACAATTCGGAGGGTCTGCCACCATTGTTGTCTACGTGAAGTATATTTTCGAGAAGTTTGAAATAGATTTGGGAGCTGAAGTGCCTACATTGATCTTCTCTTGTCTATCGATAGTGTTAGTAACGGTTTCTGCTAGCGTTGTAGAAAGAGTAGGGAGACGGAAAACCTACATGTTTTCTCTTTTAACTTCCGGACTGGTTTTGTTAATGATCGCGGCATACTTGATTGTGAAAGAAACTATTGTCAGTGTGGATCTGAGCTCGTTGGAATGGTTTCCAGCAGCTTTATTGATATTGTACCTGATTTGTACTTCGTTCGGTATCTCGAATGTACCGACTTTAATGACAGGTGAAATATTCTCCTCTAGTATTAAAGCTAAAGGAATCAGTGTGCTGGCATTGTCTTATGGATTTTCAGTGTTTCTCACCTCCATTATATTTCACTTCTTGAATTCTGAAGTGGGACTGTTTTGTCCCTTTTTGTTCTTCGCTATCGTGAATTTGGTTTCGTTCTTTTTATCGTCCCAAATTGTGCCTGAAACGAAGGGTAAGACGTTGGAACAAATCCAAGATGATTTGAGGTCGTGATGATTAGATAGATAAACATGTAAAGTGCCATAATCGAATAAATAGGTGAATCTTAGAAATCATCCATAATCCAAGTTGTCCAATGTATTTTAAATAAGAACACAAATTTCAAAGTCGATCGACCACACTTTATATTGAAATGAGATTGAAAAACAGTGACCGGTTTTGGCACAACGGCCATCATCAGACTGTGCAGTACCCAAAATTCATCATGAATGTGGAAATTGAGATTGTCACTATGAAACAAAAACTCACAATAGTGTTGAAAAGGAATATTCTCAGATAAATGATGAACATACGAATATGGATATATATTCATATGAAGCAATACATTGAGAATTCGCATTCTCTATGTGATGAGGATATCTAATCTTTCCTGGCTATTTGCCACGACAAACATCGAATTATATCTATTGAACACACACGATAAGAGTTTCAGAATAAAATATAAAAACTTCTGAAAATGAGAATTTGCATTCTCCTTCAGACAAAAAAATATGTATATGCACACATCGTTCTGAATATCCAACAGAAAACAACTACTTTCTTGGCTATTTGCCACGTCGAACATAGAATTATATCTGATGAACATTCAAAAAGAGAACATGAAAAATAAAAAATAAAATCTTCCGAAATTGGGAATCGACATTCTCCTTCAAATCGGATGAATAATATGATGTATAATGATATAGAAATATAACTTACCAATATATTCAGCATTGAAATGAATGATGTGTGCATAAACATATTTTTTCGAGTATTTTTTTGTCTGAAGGAGAATGCAAATTCTCAATTCCAGAAGTTTTCATATTTTATTTTAAAACTCTTATCGTGTGTGTTCAATAGATATAATTCAATGTTCGTCGTGGCATATAGCCAGGAAAGTAGTTGTTTTCTATTGAATAAACTGAAAAAGAGTTGATATCCACATCACATAGAGAATGCGAATTCTCAATGTATTGCTTCATATGAATATATATACATTTTCGTATGTTCATAATTTATCTGAGAATATTCCATTTCAACACTTTCATACCCAATCAGGGGGTTCAAACTTGAACGATGGATACTTGTGATTTTTATAGACATCTAATCGCAGATTCGTGATAGAGTCCCAATCCAGATTTTTTTTTTCCACGCCCTGTATGATGAATGTCAATTTATCATACACCCGAAAGCAACTCACAATAGTCACATTCAAATCACCGGAAAAGAGATTTTACGAAATCAAAAACATCATTAGGTCGAGAAGTCAGGTAAATAAAAAGTTTCGTTCGAAACGGCTGCAGAGCCAGAAAACTCTGGCCCCAATCAAGTTGAAAATCGTAAAAACTAAGTTTTTTGTCTCAATTCAAAAGGACACATGTTGACTGGAGGAAATCCATTCAAAGAATGGAACAACAAACAATTAACATGACAGGCTGACATACTGACAAATGAGGCACGAACATCATGGAACAAGAGATAATGGCGAACGACAGAAGGTCTCACTATCAGCAACCTAGGTTCCGAAAGTGAAGAAAAGAGAGCTCTGTGAAAGAGAAGTTATAAGAAGAACTGGAGTTTTATTGAGGAAAGAGAAAGAGAGCCAAGAGGATCGATTAGAAGTGATGTGTGCTATTCGCACACCACAGTTCTTCTTCTCACTTTTTCTTCACAGAGCTCTCTCTTCTTGACTCTCGGAACCTAGGTTGCTGATATTGAGACCTCCTATCATTCGCCATTATCTCTTGTTCCATGATGTTCGTGCCTCAAATGTCATTATGTCAGCCTGTCATGTCTATTGTTTCTTTTTCCATTCTATGAATCAATTTCCTCCAGTCAACATGTGACTCTTTGAATTTAGACAAAAAACTTTGTTTTTTTCGATGTTCAACGTAGGCAAGATTTTTTCTGGCTCTCCAGCAGTTTCAAACTTAACATTTCATTTACCTGACTTCTCCGCCTAATGGTGTTTTTGATTTCGTAAAATCTCTTTTTCGACGATTTTAATGTGACAATCGTGAGTTTCTGTTTTATAGTGACAATTTCAATTTCCACATCCATGATGTATTTCAGGTACTGCACAGTCTGATGATGACCGTTGTGCCGAAATAGGTCACTGTTTTTCAATCCTATTCTTATATAAAGTGTGGTCAACCGACTTTGAAATTTGTGTTTTTCTTAAGAATAAATAGGTGAATAACCCTGTAGTGCGAAAAATCCGTACACATTGTTTGTATGTTATGAATATTTCAGTGTTGTATTTTTGTATTCTGCTGGTTAAACATGCTCATGTTGAATTGACATTCACGAATTGACTAACTAATGATGGTTCGATGAGAATAGCGCTGTTTTTCTGAGCTATAGATGTTCACACCATTTTCACAGCATGCATACCGGATTAGCGGTATTTTTTCAAGTAATTCTCATGTCCATGAATTTGGATACTCGTGAAATTGATATTTTCCACAAGTTGGCCATGATTTCGGAATTATTTCAGGATATTTGCGTTTCGATACACGTTTTTTATTAATCGTTTTGATAAGGTAATATTTATATTAATTTTATTTATGCTACCTCTCATTTTGAAGGTTGACTGTATAGTAACAATCATTTTTTCATACCTACCATTGGTTCATCTGATGATGTCATATTATTTGTATCATCATTCATTTTCCAACATGACATTCGATATTTTGAAATTATGTTTAGCAATCTCTTGTGGTGAGTGAATACAAAAAATCATTTTGGTGAAAGGTAAAGTTATTAAGCAACAAGAAAATCGACTAGAATTGTGAGATAGTATAGTATTCAAGTTCACAGAAGCAATGTTTCTTCAAAACGATCTCCTATATATTTATACAGTGTGTCCATTTAGTGCGTAATTCTTCGATATCTCGAAATCCATTATCACTAGAGAAAAACTTTTGAAAACAAATTGCTTCCGTCATTGAAGGTTCCATTTCAAAAATATTTTCAACATTACTGGGTGTATTATAAAAGCGGGACGACTTGGAGACGAGTTTATTTAAATAGAACAACGAGTATTTTTCATTTGAAATTCATTCCGCTAAGGTTTAGCTCTACATCGCTATGAAAAAAATTGAATTTGGTTGCGACGTTGCCAAGTTATAGTTGATAAACCAATTTTTACTACTATTGAAGGGTCATGTCGAATTGGGTATGGTAAATTCATTTATTAAAATTTTGAAAATATCTCTGGCATACAGTAGTACCAAGGTCTCAGGTATACCAATCCAGTAATTTTGCGGAATTATCCTTTACAGGGTGCTGAAATTTACATTCTGAATATCGTAAGATTCAGACGATGTTCATTAGAATTTTTCAAATGGGACACCCAGTATTTTTCATCACAGATTTATTTCTACATCATTCACCTTTTCATCGCGGAAAAAAATCGAACTCAATTGCGGCGTTTTCAAGTTATGAGTAATTTCCTTATGTTTATCACTATCTCAGGGCTACTTATAGGGCATGGTTCCTTCATTTGATTTGAGTATGGTAATATTGCTTGCCACATGACATTCGAGGTTCAACATAGATCATTCAGCTATTTTTGCGATACATGCATTGTCCAAATTTGAAATATTCCGTAATCTTGTTACTTATGATTTGAATAATATGTAACTATGTGAAACAAACAAATATGCCAGAAGCAACGCCTGCCTTCGAAACAACTTCTACAATACAATCAATGGAGATTTGAATTGCGAGAAAAAGGAATTTTTTTTCAAATTTGGACCCCGCACTTTTTCTATATAAAAATGGCGTTCCGTCGAATTTCCCCAATTTTTGGTAAATGATAGTACTCGACATACTGATTGAATATGCCAAGTCCCAACTCAATCCTATGACTAGTTTACGAGATACAGGGTGTTGAAGTTGAAGAATACCTAATTTTTCTCGGCCTATATCTCTAAGATAGGACAAATGAATTCCAATTTTTCGGGAGCACGTAATAGTTATGCCCTTAGGCGCAAGAACTATATAGGTATTCGACCAAAACTGATTTTTATTACAGGGTGATTCTCATTTCAAATAATGTGTTTTTTTGAATATCTGAATATCAATGCTACAAATTGATAACAATTACAAAATGAGATTTATAGCCAAGTATGCTCTTCTTACATCAATTGAATTCGTAAAATATAATAATTATACATGGTGTTTCATTAATGCTGTTGATTGCATAATTGGTCTATCCTAAAGTTCATTGGGCCACCTCGTATTATCGGGTTGATTCCAGACATTCAAAATATTTTTGAAGGATGTATCCCAATGAGTTCCATGATATACAGAGTGATTCATCGATTGAAAAAATTGACAACCACGAAAAAATATACAAAAACCACTATTTTTTTCATCACCCTCTAATTCGAAATTATTACCGTCGATGTGAGATTTTTTTCCACCAATATACTCAGTATGGATATTTCAATCAAATTGGGAATTTTCAGACCCATGCTATGACTAGTTTTTTTTATACATCGAATAATGTGAAAATAATTATGGAAAAGTAATTACATAATAACACGAAAAATTGCTCCGAATCGCAAAACTAGTAGTCACTAGTCAACTATGTCAAAAAATGTGATTTGTTCGTAAACAAAATCTAGTGGTCTTATTATAGGTCCGCTAGCAAAACATCTCGAAAATGTTTTTCAGAAAACATCAAACAAATCACAATATGCCCCCGAAAAAATCTCATCAACGACACAACTCATCAACGATCCCACTCATATAAACGTGCTAAAACTCATGAGCGTTCCAAGTCGACAGCGGTTTTTCCCAACTCAATCCTATGACTATACTTTTCGAAAAAAATATGAAACTAAACTTCCGCAAACGCCTAGTGAGAGGTGCGCGTTAATATATTTTGCAACTCTCCTTTATCCAACCAACTTCCAATCTTTTGATCATACTGTATATTGTTAGAATCGAAGTTAGTATATGCACATCGGAAAGACACTAAAGTTGGAGTTTTGGTTATGTAGATA